AGTTTTCATTTCCAAATATGAGTTCCTTCCTTGTAACTGAATTTTTGCTTCTAGTCCCCAAAGGCAGTATCTTTCTTAAATATTACAGAAATAAATATGCTTTATATAATGCATATTAAGTCACTATACATGGATAGAGATATTGTTATCACAGCCAAGCTGAATATTTCAGTTCAAGTCTCCAGTTGAATGCTTGAATTCAGAAACTAGGTGTATGCCATAATGAAGTTCCTCAGGAGATCTCTGTTAGTTATTCAGATTATTCCTAGAATGTACTGACAGCTCTTAATGAACAGACAGAGTTGCTTCTGAATTTGCCCAACTGTTTCTAAAAAATCAGATTTTTACAGCATTACAGGCATTTCTGGGACCTCTTACGGAACCGCATTCCTTCACCACAGCCAAAGAATTTCAATCAGCTACAGTTTGCATGCAATGCGTAGTAAACCATTTTGTAACCACATATTGAAAGGAGATCTCCAGCATATGACTTAAATTGACTTAACTATGGTAATGGTCAAAAGAATTAGAGCAAAAAGCCATGAATCTAATTAACTATCTTTCAGGAATACCTTAAATCAGTAATGTACTCATCTTTATTATTTTTTATTTGATAGGTAATAAGCAACAAATAAGTGACACTGGATTGTGGCACATCTTGCTGACATACATACTGTATCTCACCAATAGAGGCTGAATGGAAAATCTATATAATATACAATGCAATATAAGAGACAAATCCCTGCGATGATCTGTTTATATATTTAGATAACAATGAAACTAAAAAATGAGACTAATGTGGTCTCTCTGCAGCTGCTTTCACTGAAATTAAGGTAATTTTGGTTGTTGAACCACAGGAAACTCTCATGAGTTGATCAAAACTAAAATAGATTATTGTGGAGCCTTTTTTCCGATTTCTATTTTATGTAACTTGTGGCTAGTGCAGAAAGCTTGGTAACTACTGTTTCATTCAGGCATTTTATCCAATCACAAAACTACTTCTCAAACATGCAATCACATTTTCTTTTTCAAAACACTGAATATTTTTCAGCTGCATAACAAGCATTTCATTAAGTAAGGCGACATTTTATCAAATATATATAGGATTTAATAATGTAGAAGTTACCTCTTCTGTGCCAGCCAGACTATAGTTATCTCTAAAAAGAAAAACTTTTTTTTTCACTTCTTCTGAGAAATCAAGATAGAAAAGTGCCACTTGAATAAATAAAATCAGTTCTATAGTAACTCTCCAGGCCAAACTCGTTCATCTATCTTCATACCTGAAAATCTTTATTTTCTTGGCATTTTTTAGGGGCCTTTAATGACCTGAGTCCAGAAATCTACTGATAATAGTCCAGAGTTCTACATGTTACGTGCAGAAATCAGTAGATTTCCTCCAGCCCTTCTGCAAATCTCCTGCTTTCTTTAAAATCTAGAGAAAGATGGAAGAGGTAGGATTTCTCCTTAAGCCTGAATATAGAGTGACACAGCTACTCGGAGGAGTTTACCCCTGTTTCACAGGTTCTACCTTTCCTCATGTCTCCATAAAGAATGCAAATGATAATGGAAGAACAGAAGTGCTTGTGGTAGGAAGAAATTATGGATGTGGAACTAGACATGGTGTCCATTTGGAAGGACTCCTTTGATTCAAGAGCCTCTCCAGAACGGATACAAACACCAAAGGTAGACACGCAGGAGAGGGCACATGGACGACCATAATTCTCAGACCTTCTCCTTTTCTAGGCGCTTATATGGGGCTGCACTATGGTGCTGATGCCATATATAACAGTCTCAACTCTTCCTAACATTTATGTTCAAATTATCAGCAGACAAGATTTATTTGTTAACTCTTTTTATTCCAGCCTGCATTTTATGTCACAGAAAGTGGTCAACCAAGTATACTAAAAAATAAATGCAGACAGAGACTATGCTCTCACAGACAGTACTATGTTGTAGTTTGTGCAAGAGAGACAAGAATCTTCAAGGCTGGTGACTTACAACAGCTGTCTCCTCACTGTTCCCATCTGCATCCTCCTCTGGGAATTTACATATTCCAGTTGCTTTTTTGGACATGGCTTTGTTTAATTTTTTCTACATTACAAATGAGACATTTATTGTTTCTGGAGAGCAGGTCTAACAATGCTCTTGCTTTTACTTGTACTTTTCTTCTTGATGTAGGTTTGATTTTTGACACTTACTGCTGTCTAACTGCAGCAAAAATGGAAGCCATAGATGCAGAGAAGGGGAAATAGTTTTATTAAGTAAAAAAATAGAGCAAAAAAATGTAATATAAATCACTGAAATGGCCCATTACCTCAAACCAACTATCACATGAGTTCACCTATAAATTGACGTATACATGATCTGGCAAATCAATACAAATGCAATCTATAAAAGTCATGTTAGCAGCTCCTTTTGTCTAAGGATTAGTAAACAGAAAGCAGGAATTTCCAAACCCTAATCAAAGTCAATAATTTAGGACATAAGAGCCGTAAGAACAACATCTGGTGTTAATAGGAATATACATATCCTTAATTTCACTTGTCTCACTTTACTACTGCACAGACAGTGAAGATCAGTCATAAAGATTAAATGACTGTGTCACAATACTATTCTGTGCAAAAATACCTGCCCTTTTACAGATATTGAGTAGTTTGTTGTACTACATTGGAATATCTGCTTTGCCAGCAAACAACTTTGGAGATAATGCCATTTAGCTTTCAAACTTTCTTATGTATAGTCCTCCGTTGTTCTGTAAAACCTCAGTATGGTCAAATTCTATATGGTCTCACAATCTTCAGGGTACAACTTAAAGTAGTATAGCAGGTATATGCAGTCACATCATCTCCCAAAGCTGAGATGAGGGGGCATTCATGGCAAATTCAATCTCAATTTATAGCGGCTGATTCTCATAGAGAGTAGGTTCAGTCCAAAGCTTTTAACAAACCACGTATACTATCCCTATTTACATGTGTAGTATAACACATTTGACACTTTATGCTTTTAGGCAATACATTGATAACAGAATGTGAAAAACTATGTGGCTGAGGAGAAAGTTTAACACCTCCATTAAGTATCAGGAAAATTTCTAACTTTTCTGTCAGCTACTTGGCCAAGAAATAGATGTGCCCAGTGTGTCCAATGATATTTCTGAAGTAGGGGCAGTCATTAGTGATAGGACAAGGGACAATGGCCTGAAACTGCAAGAGGGTAGATTTTCACTAGATATAAGGAAAAAATTCTTCGCCGCGAAAGTGGTGAAGCACTGGAACAGGTTGCCCAAGGAGGCTGTGGATGTCCCCTCCCTGGAAGTGTTCAAGGTCAGGTTGGATGGGGCTTGGAGCAACCTGGTCTGGTGGGAGAGAGGTGTCCCTGCCCACAGCAGGATGATTGGACCAAGATGATCTTCAAGGTCCCTTCCAACCTTAACCATTCTATGATTGATTCTATGATTAGTCCTGCAGGAGAATGTTAAAATTGAACTTTGAGAAAGATTTGGAAATGTAAAGACACATATATCTGCAGAGCAGAAATGTTCTTCAGTAAAAGCTTTTGCCTAAGTACCACGTTTCAATAGCTCTTTAGTTGCCTGATAGGAAGAGGGAAACCTCTTGGAGCTGACCTGAAGGACATCACAGATGTGTGACTTACTCCTCTGTTCCTTTTCATCCGCATGTTAACCTGGCAACTGTGTTGTCTTTGCTTTGTAAATTCACATTTAGCCTTTACTTTTACTCAAACATCTATCAGAAACTGTGCTTGATTACAGGATGTTCGACAAACAACAAGGTATTTAATTTTCATGAATCCTGAGACATCATCAGGACACCCAGCACCACATTTGTCTTCTCAAGTACACTGAGAAGGCAACAGAGCTCCTCCACTACAGCTGCATGAATTGTCAGCATCAAAGAGATGCCTCCTCAGAACTAAAGTTAGTTGAATCAAGACAGTGATGAGAGTCGCCTGGACGTTGATAGTGTCCTAGTAAACTGACAGAAAATCTTCCAAAATGATTCTTCATTGATGTCTCCCCACTGGTACTAGAAGAATAAACGGTTCCATTTCATCCACAAATTTCTGTCAGATCAATATCTTCTGCCAGGCAGCTAATAATAAGGGAGGATTACCATGGTTTTGAATGATATTACTAACGTTGTTTTAAAAAATAAAACTAAGCATTCCAAAGGTTTAAGAGTATATGTACATACCAAATAGCTCATTTTCACATAAATCTGCTATATACCTGTGCTGAAGCCAGCTCAGGGTATGACGTAGATATCAGTGTCCATGGACAAAATACTACTATCTCTACCCCATCCTCCCTGCCAAAATGAGCATTTACAGTATTCTCAGTGAAATAGGAGTGTGGAGACAGTCTTCACCATTACTCCAAATCACTCCCACTTGGCTTGTCTGGACCACATACAACTCAATAATGAATACTATTAGACCAAACCACATCTGCCCTGCTCTTTCTAACCTCCTTTTCTCTTTTTTTCACTTGATTCTTCTGCTTGATATTTTCCAAATCCTGCATGCCAAGCTGTCTTGGGCGGGAGCCTTTTGGGTCTGCTCCCAAGCACAGAGCATGAAATACCAAAATACAAAACAAAGAGCATCTAAAAAATAATACTTTGCTAAGACTGATATATTTATTGAGGGATCTCAAAATGTATGCAAGTGTAAACTAATATCATTCTACATTATTGGAAAATGTGAAGTCGAAGTGTTTTGCATTGTGCTTTGGCCATGTGGTAAATTCTAAGCAGAATGAAGTTTCTGCTCCTTTTGCATATTTCTGAGGAAGCTCTATCTGGGACAGAATTTAGCATTGGGATTTACATCATCTTAGCCACTGTAACAATTTCTACATTTTTCTCATATTTCAGGCTTGGCCTCTTATGACAAGTATCTTCCCAAAGTAAGTGTGCAGTTTGTGTTTTCTATTAATCAGCAAAATGCACAGTTTTCTGCTGCATCTTCTGTCTCCGGAATTGTTATACAACTGCATTAAAGTCACAGCCCTCAGTCCATGGTTGAGCCTCATCTAAGCCTAGGGCAAGATTATTATAGTGCCCTTTGGAGTCTATCTTGGTAGGTTTCGCTGGCATCAAGTACCGAAGGTTCTTCCAAAATCTGGAATTCACAGGAAGGGATTTATCCTTTTCCCACTTCACAACCCTCTTTGATGGTAAGAGAGATAATGATTCTGGCAAGAAATTGTAGTCACTTATAGGCATATATTCAATTAATATGATCTTAGTTTTTCTTTCAACTAGGGCTTTATGAAGTCCGCTCTCAAGTTCGTATATGGCTCTGTCAGAAACGTAGTTCTGGCTCAGTATAATGATTAATCTTCGGCTTTTGTCAATGAATGAATGGATATCATCAACAATTGCTGCAAATTAAAGATAAACGTGTTATTAAACTAAATTGAAAGAGTAGACACTGAATCAACTTATCCTTTAACAATCACTCATGTACCAAAAATGATCCCCTTAAAAACTGACAGCATGTAAGCATCCTGTCCCTATGAATAGGTTAATATGCATTACAGATTAAGAGTTTGCAGAAATGAGCTCAGCTATGGTCAAAGCTTGTTCTCTGGAGCAGACAAAAGCCTGCAGACAAAAGCCTAATACAATATCCAGCTGCCCTAGACAGCTGTCTGTCAGTAGTCACATCATGACAGCAGAATTCATTTTTCCTCCAACCAGACATCTCTTTGCTTTTTGGTGATAGATACCACTGGAGTGCTTCCACAGAAAGTGACCAACAGCAACCTCTCTCCAAAGATTCATTAAGCCTCAGGATACTCCTTCCTTTACGTCACTGAATGCCCAAATTTACTGCCAGTAATCCAAGGTTGAGAAGACTAGCATGTAATGGCAAAATGTATTTCAACTGGTTTACATTCCTGGCTTTTGTCATGTCAGTTGATGAATGAACTCAAATGGTGACACCCTCCAAACATCCATACACTGAGCTGAATCCTCATGCACAACTTGCTGCACTTGCTTCAACACCATGGGACAAGGTCTACAGAGACCAGACATCTAGAAAGCATGCCTTGTAAGGAAAAGCAAAGCAAACTGCATGAGTAACCTAAAGAAGAGAGAAACTTAGAAAAGAAGGAGGCTGACAAGTGTATGTCAACACACCGAAGGTTCCTGTAACTAGAGGGAAATACTTTTTTTTTGTTTCCGTATTCACAATGGTTCAGACCGGAGAAAATGAAATAAGCTAAAAATATTGCAAGGAAATAAGCTAAAACTATTGAAAGAATCAGACTGAACACTTCAGAAAGCATTTTTTTAATACCTAAGGCGAGAGGGTAACTAGAAAAAAATGGCTTGGACGAACTCTGGGACCTCTTTGAGTTAGAAAAATGTCAGGAATGCGTACGAATGATGAGACTCATTGTTTTTAACAATTATATCCTATTCCTCAACTAGATCTTTGCACTAGATGGAACCCCACAGTATTTTTTTTCCAACATCTGCAAAAGGCCCTCTATCCATAGGTGATTTAAAGAAGCCGAATTGCACATTCTGATTTCTATTTCATTATGACACAAATTACATTCACAAAATGGTTTCAATCACCACACTGAAGATACAGCAAACATGCAAGTTACCTGCGAATAACTAGTGCCAGAGACACCAACTGTTCTGTGCAATAAATGTGAGTTCATTCATAGGAACCTGCTTTCAGTAAAAGCAGAGCAAGAGCACTATAACTGTGAAACATCTGACATCATCTCTCTTCTCACCTTAACTTCCTCCCTGACAGATTTTTCACCTGTTCATCTTGGTTCTGTGCAATTAAAGATATGTATGTGTGTATGTGTATATGGATTCATAAGTATTTCTATAAAATGTATACATACAAACTTTGCATGCATGTTGTCTAGATTAAATAAAAAATGCAGCATTTCAATGCACAACACATTTGACAAAAATCCTTCTAACCACAGACTTTTACCTTTGTGTGAAAAAGATGTGCCTATTTAATGAAAAAAATATTCAATACACTTACCTCCTCCAGGGGATATATCCCTCTCAAATATACACAACTTGTACCCAAAGTTTTCTTCTAATATCATGGGTAATATCTTCAAAGCAAATTCTCTCTCTTCTTCAGTAGGTGAAATGCAATCTTTCAGGTAAGACACAAATGCATCATATACCTTTCCATCTGGAAAGAAATCACCAGTTGTTGTCTTGTTAGCAAACATTAAAAATACAATATCTGATGCACCATTCTGGTTTTCAAAGTTATTGTTTCAGTAGCAATCTAGAAACTCCTGCTCTTTCCTTTGGTACTCCAAACAGTCTTCAAACAACAACAAAAAATCCTGAAAAATTTTAAATTTGATACAACAGATTCTGATTTTATTTGGCAAATATTTCAAAATAACATATCCTTTCTACTTAGAGGTGGTTTTTTTAAAAAATCAGATTCATTTAACCAGTTAAAGTCACATCTGTGATCAAGTTCTGCCTCAACATGAGGAGAAACTTCTTTACTGTGAGAGTGACAGAGTACTGGCACAGGCTGCCCAGAGAGGTTGTGGAGTCTCCTTCTCTGGAGACTTTCAAAATGCACTTGGACACGTTCCTGTGTGGCCAGGAAGCATACCTTCACTTGCTCCTTAAGTGAAGGTTGCAGTGATACTGCCTGGTAAGATACTAATAGTGTGCTCTCCTTAAGTGCATTTAGTGACAAACCCACAAATTGCAATGACCTCTTTGGTCAAGGAAGCATTTTAAACTTCACCTCGCTGAAGAGCATCAGTGAGGTGAAACCAGATTTCTGCCAACCTGCCAGAATGATCATCCTCTTTACAGATTGATAATTGTAAACTTCTCCACCTTCATCAACTTTTGTGATGAAGAATACAGCCAAACAGAGTGCATCTGAACAGAATCTGTAACTTGCACTACCTGCTCTAGAGGCAGGTTCTTCACTTTATCTGCTGTTACTGCCCCAGGTGTTTAACAAACTCACTTTAGCACCTGACCATCAAGTTCTCTTTTACATAGTCTTTGCTGTTTCTACTCACAAAACTCCTGGACTGACTGTCTCTTCCTCAAAGATCATTGCTCTGTAGAACCTACCAGAAACTATTTTTTAATCAACACACTTATTTCAATGTCAACATTGGCCAAGTCGTACCATCATCAGTGTCATCTCTTCTGCTTATGTTCCTGTAGAATAGAACTAAGTCGACTCTAAACATCACACAGACAAACACTGCAGCTACAGCAACACATGAAAATAATATAGCAAGGACCATTCCTATTGTAAACATGTGCATAGGCAGATCTCGGGTGTTCCCTGTAAAACAGAAACACAAGAAATTATAACCATAACAAAGAGTATTATATGACAAGGTTATTGTATCCAATACTGATGGAATCTTAAAATCATTCCCCAAGAAGTCATAATGTTGATGTGAATCCTTTCCTGCTAATAATTCAAACACATAGACATGCCATTTGACCTGAAATGGGGAAGAACTACAGAACATGGATTACTCTAAAACCTGGAGAAACAATCTTGCACTTGTTCACACGTCCTCCACACAGATAAAGGAACTGTATGCCAGGTCAAGACTGACATTACAGATTCTCATGGATATGTAGCATCCCAAACTGACGGTCACTCACTTCTGTGATGAGTTTTCTTCAAGTTCTTTATTATTTCCTGTTATTCTCTGCATTTCACCCCTCCCTCAGTCCATCTGTAACAGTCTTTAACCTCTCTGAACAATATTGTTGCTTTTTCTTTTACCTCTAGTCTCTTTCAGGCTTCCCCCGCTTTAACTATTATTCTGTTATCTTTGTCTTTTTTGATCCAAATAAAGAGTTTAAACCTTAAATCTCTGTGATGTGTTTATGAAGGCACTGTAAAGTCTCTCCTGCTGTAGTCTGTATTTCACCTGCTTTTTTATATGCATTGTGTTTAGTCTATTTTCACATATTTCCACCTTGTAAAGCTTGGAAAGGTCTGAGAGAGATGGAAAACAAGAAGGAAACGCCCATTTGCCATGAATTTCCAGGCTGTCTGGACTATAAACATGAAGTATTACTATATGGTAGAGGACAGCTTTCCATAACTAGAACGATAGAGTCCCTGACAAGAGATAAACCACCAGCCAGAACATTTCAGGCATTATCAAGAATATAAAAGATTGACCTTTCCAGGGGAGAAAAAAAAAAAAAAGAGAAGAAGAAAAAAATCCACACCACCACAAAAACAACCCAAACATCAGATTTTCATTTTAGAAAAAGCTGTTTCATAACCAAAGAGACCCAAACAACAGACTCTGGGCTGCACCAAGCTTCGGTTAGTTAACCCCTGTGATCCCACCAATCTGATGAGTAGGAGAGCACAGGGAACACTCTGTCATAGGGTCTGATCAAGCGCTACCAAGGGATCTGTCAGCCAGAGCATTGCACAGCCTCCCCAGCTGTGTCCACAGCAGCAGCGTTTGAACCCTGGAGCCCTCACACAGCTGCTCTAGCAGATGTAGCAGCAACCCCTGCTGTCCCTGCCTCGGAGAAGGAGAATTCACCCAGGGAGTTGTTAGGTCCAACACTAGAGAGATCAGGGCCTTCATAAGCACAGAGCCACGTTTGGAGAGAAGTTCTGAGATCAGTTCTTGTGGCTCAGAAGACTGGCATAACTCACAGTTATATGCAAGATGTATAATTGATAGATTATACCATACCTTTCTTCAGTTTCACTATTTTTATTTGTGTTCTTTCATCAGTTTGCAACACGCAGGTGAAATTATGGTGCATGTCCTCATCTGTTACTTTTTTTATCCGTAGTAGCCTTGTGACATAGAACTTGTTTCCCAACCTGCAGCAAAGAATGGTGTTAGCAACACAATCTTTACAGAAACCTACAATCAGCTGAGAGGTAGATTTCAAGGAAAAGGTTCTAAGCCTTCTCAGCCTCAGGCTGAAGTCTTACTGAATTTCCAGTTCCACAAAGTCCAGGACATTATCACATACAAACAAAAACGCAGTATTTTCAAGAAACCTACTGCAATTTTTTGAACTCTTCTTCACATATGGAGGGTTCATCCTCAGGGATATCTGTGCATTTTTCTGGAAATGTTTGATTAATTAACCAGTAGAGGCTGGCGTCTTCTTCCATATAATAACCCAAGTAACCTGTGCAATTGAGTATCTCCTCTTTTCCTAAAAAAACATAACATGGGAAGATCTAGTCAGGAGTAACGTTCACATTCACGATCCAGTAAAATGCCAGCTTACCAGGCAATGTATCCCATGAGCTGTGCTCCTTTCTGGACCTTGTAGGCCCTGCATGATATTTATGATGTTATACCTGCACTGGTGGTGGCTTTGGCAACCTTGCCCAGGGAGGATTCTGTGGCACCCTGTTGCAGATTCAGTCACCCACTGCTTTCTCACAGATAAACCATCACATCCAGCGGATTTTAGTTCTTGATCAGACCATCATGCACCAATGCTTTCCAGTAAGTGAGGCCTGCCCAGGAATTCTCCAAGGGTACATATTACAAATGGACCTCTGAAGATTTATCAGAGTGGATGCTTCCCATTAAAACACGTTAAAGCAGGATCCAGGTGAAGGACTGCCCATCTTAGATTCAGACCGTAGAAATCCAAATCACAGTTGCACAGATTGAAACACAGATCTAAATTTCTAGTATCAGCTGCCTTGCGACTCTTTTTCACTAGACACAGCAGCTATTTTCAGGGAAATATTATAGAACATCATCGAAACGACGACAGGTAGGAAAGACTATGTACGTAGCACATCCAAAATTCCCTTCACTCTCCACCATGCCATCTGTCTCATCACTTAGAAGGTAGTTCAATGACCTTATCAAATGATCTTATCATGGCAGATAAGAGATGGAAGACAGGTTATTCATAATCATTTGATGTTGAACCCTGCTACCTTCTAAGGGATGGGACAAGCACAGCAAGTGGGAAGAATTGTTCGGGGCAGGTGTACTGAAGGAGGTTGGGAGACATGGGGCATCATAGGATTGGGGTACTACCATTGGAAAAAGCATCTACTAACTGGTATTTGTAGGAAGGAGGCAAAATTAGAATTTGAGATTCTAGCTGAGCAAATGAGATACATATATGAGCAACAGAAGAGGTCTGATTTTTTCAGGCTTGGAAAGAAAGGACTGTGTAACCAGATGGGAGAAACCCTCAGGCAGAAGAGAGGAACAAGATGAATAAATTTCTGGTTTTAAAAAGCAGTTACAGCCTCAATCACAAAATCCTGTATCCCGTCCAACACTGTGTAAATTCTACAAATCAGGTTATCTAATCCTCTCCCAGCTAGAAGCATAGTTAAGGTCTTGGGTTTTGACAGTTCAGCCAATTCTTTGCAGCAGTAACAGATCCTCATGTTCACATTGTTAGGACTGCCAGCCCTCACACTTCTCATTTCCCTGCAGAATAAAGTCCTCAATTCCACCAGCTATTAAGAGGATTACTCATTACTGCTGTTTGCTGAACAAACCAGTTATCTTTCACACATCGCTTCCTGGGGTTCTCTATCTACAAAAGAAAGCCATGGAGAGATGATTTATCATCACCGACACTTTTCTTGCTGGTCACAGAAGCAACCTCAGCTTCTCCTTCTGCAAAAGGGTGCATTTAGTGTACATGTGTATCAGTCAGGAAATATACTAGGCAAAACACAACCAGATATAAAGATTTCAGATACAGACTAGTGCAGAGACAGTTCTTAGTCTGATTACACTTAATCAGACCATCAATCTTAAAGAGATCAGAACAAAAGCATATCCACACAGTAGCTACTACAAAGACTGTTGTATTAATTTTGTACCTATTTCTGTTTCAGTTTCTTCATTGCGTCCAACTATCTCCAAAGTTACAGCCTCTGGTGCATCTACAATAAAAAGAAGCATTGCTATTGAAGTAGCAGCTTACTTACATTCTAGCACAGTAAAAATTACACATTTACTTTATTTCTAAAACTAATCACCTACATGCCATTTAATTAATTCCATTTAATGTGGACTCTTGCATTATTAAGTAGTTTAAAACACAATATGCCCTGCTGAATTTTTTCGTATGTATATCTGTTCAGCACACAACTTACAGTAGTTGGAAAGACTCTTCCTCAGAAATCTTAGTAAGTTTGCATGACTTACAACAGCTAGTTTTGAAAAAAATAAAACTGCAGGGACAACATATTAAATTTCCAAAATTGGTAATATGTCATATAAACTTCTTAAGCTGCTTTTTTATTTTAGAAATTACTGTGAAATCATTCAGATTGCTGTATTTGATCACACTTGTATGTATTTATTAAATGAGAATTGTAATTAAAAATCTCTGTAGTGAAGAGAAACAAATAGCATGTTTCAAAATTTTAGAATGCTTTCTTACCTTCTACTACCAGCTTAATTGTATTTGTGCTGTAATATATCTTTCCTTCATGACTGATTAAAATTTTACAGGTATATATCCCAGAGTGCTGCACTGTCAAGGTTTTAAAATCCAGTTCCCTCCCTGTTTCATTTTCATAGTTCTTACAGTCCTGCATCAATAAAGAGAGAAAATACTATTCTGTAGTAAACACACATTCAAAACTTTGAAGAAGTTAAAAATTATTTTTCAGATTGTCGCTATCACTCTTTCTCTGTCTCAACGACATTTACCTGGCCCAGAAGATGTGGGGGCCCAATTTTGAGTCACGGCCACTTAAATGCAACATTTGAACATTTAACCTATTAGAATCTGAGAGCACTGAAACTCTGAATAAGCATCTGAATATGAAAATGCTGCATCAGAAATTTATTTTTTTCCAAACAGTAGTTTGGATATTTAAGTGTCACCTGCTTGTGGCCAAAAGGTTTTTGGACTTATGAGGACCTTTCACATTAAAGCAAAATGCCTCAGTAGTAGGAAAAGTGAACATTTCAGAAGGTAACAAGAGTTGGACTCACATTTGCTCACTCTCCCTGTCCTCCAAAACAAACTGGTTTGTTGTGGGGGGTTTTTTTATATTCATAGTGCAGCAAAGTGAAATATCCTTTGAAAACAGCAATATTTGATTCTGGTTTGAATTACCTTAGATCAAGAAGGAAAATGATCACTGCTGGAACTTGTCCAAGGAATGGACAATTCCTGAACAGATATGCTTACTATCAGGCTTTCTTTTTTACGGATATGCTTACTATCAGGCATGTGTGACCATCCCTGTTTTATCTCAGCTTAGAGTGTCATAGGGAGGCTTTGAAAATGTTCACCCAACTGAGTGCCAAAGGATATTTAGATTCAGGGATGGCTCTTTCATCTGTCTCACGCAGTATCAGGCATTAAAGTATTAGGCATCAGTATACTCAGGTTAGCCATGAGAGAGGTCAGTCTGGGGTATGTATGGTCCTTTACTGAGGACAACATATCCCCCTACGGCCCTACCCATCAATGGTCCTATGCACCCAGGTCCTGAAGGACGAGGAAGCGGGGCTGTGGCTCATTCTGCCACGCAGAATCCAGATGCCCATACTTAAGCTGCCAAAATCCCTTCCTGAAACTGACTCAACATGGAGCAAGGAGGGTCCGTTAATCCAGCCAGGATGCCTGAGAGGAATAAGGCAATGCACAGGGGCAGGATGGAAGAAAGCTGTTTGGGACTCTTCATCTAATGGCTGAGCGCAACACACAACAGCTACAGGTGCTTACACAGCTGTCATCTGTGCTCTGGCAAAAGCCTCCAGAGAGACTAATGATTTGTCTAAAATGAACGGAACTGGATCTTTTACATATTTTGTAAAAAGTGTTCAGAAAGAGCAAAATTTAAAAGTTTGCGATTATTTCACAAGAACATGCCAATTGTAAAACAAACATCTGGGCACCTCATTTTGTGTCAGGATAATATCTGTACCAGCAAAGCAGCCGCTAGCTAAACCAGCTGTTGGCTAAATCAGAAAACAAGCATGCACATCAGATCTTTTACCATCCCAAAATACCACTTTATTAATAAAAGCTTCCTTTTGTATATCTGCCCATTTTTTTCCCTATTAACCTGACAAATTAAGGCTTTAAAAGGTTTGTAGGTGCTTTTTAAAAATTTGTTTGTAATCCACTTTTTCTGCAATCAGGTATTCTGTTTCTATAGGTTATGATTTGAGTGACACCGTTTCGATAATTACCTTGTACCATGTTATGCTGTCATTTTCATTGACAGACAAATCACTGCATTTCAGTGAATGACCAGTTCCAGCATGTCCAATTTCTGTAGTTAAATGATTTTTGTTAAAACAGCTGCTTTTATTTCTTTCAAGTACATTCAAGGTCCACTTTTGTTTTGTGAAATTTTGGTTTCCATCGCTGTAAAAAAGAAATTAGCAAAATCAGATTTAGGACATTTTTAAAGGACTGTAGCTTAATGAATTACACAATAAAATAAAAAGAATTTCTCTAACACATCTGTTACGTTAAAAGTAAATCTACAGTGACCTAATTATTTATATTCCCCTTTATTACTTTTCCACCCCAAAATACGTGTTATTTGTCATAACAAAAGAGGTTATCTAAACTAAACCACCTATCGCAACATTTAACAACACCGTTATATCCATGAAATGTGGCAATATATGCTATATGGATCAGAACAAGGATGCAGCAGTCTGCGGCATCATATATAGTTACGAATGAGCAGAAAAGAGTTTTAGGAGCTTGAATCAGCTAATGATTTAGCAGGTTTAATCCCCTATGCATAGCTAAGGTTTAAAATAGCAACTGGGAAAATATGCTTGTAAAATATGTCAAAATTAGGACGGGCAAATCCACTATTGTTCTAAAAGCAACATTATTCATTGTTTGATACTGTGGAGATAGTCACCAACATTTTTGGAAATATTTCTACACTACACAAGTCTCATGAATTACAGAATCACTTACGGATTCAAGAATGTCTGCAAAGCAAGGCATTTTGGAAAGGATTCATGTCCTTGTCTTTCACTGCACTGATCAGAGATCTACAGCAGCTGTCCACCCCAAGTTGACTGTAAAAGCCAGGGACTGCTTCTTCTAAATTAGAGTCATCATTTCCCATGCAGTATCTCTAAAAGATCAGGTGAATATGCTCAAAATAATCTCTTCTGAATATCTAGGAGCTGACCATCACCATTCAGATATCTACTATGTTCTGTCCACATCTTCTTCTAAAGAACCAGATTATAGATGTGAGTTGCTGGATATGTCCAAATGTGTGACTACCAAGGGAAAAGAAGCTGGAGGACTTCTGGCTTAAATTCAGCAAAGCTGGCCTAACTTTGGTAAAGTTAGGGCTTAAGAGAAAGTCGTATGCTGCTGTAAACTAAGGGGTGAGATTCTGCAATTAGTGCATAGAGCTCTCTTTTTTTACTGAACAATTAGGGTCTGAAAAGACAAAAGCAGCAATCATAGAGCACTTCCCTCCAGTGTCAGTCATAGCTTCATAAATATATTTGAATTTTTCTGTCTCCAAGAGGAAGGAAAGGATTTGTTCCCAAAAGAACTGAAACTAGTCAAGAATGATTTCGATGAGAAGGCCTAAGGGGACAAAGCAACTGAAACAGAGAAGTTAGCCTGACTAGTGTACCATCCTAAATAACATTCTTGACTGACATGCCTTTTACAGTGAAAAGGTTCAGAACTGTTAGGACCTCATTTATACAATTAATTTAGACCAAGTTTTGGGTCTTTTTTTTTCAATTTTTAAGCTCCCCAAGCAGATGTATTTACGTATTTTGCTCACTCTGTTCACATTGTAGCTTTTTTTTCAGCGTACACAGGTTCTCCTTGTTCTCCTTACTCGATTGAGACTTTCATTACTCATAATTGCAATTGACTATCTAAATCAAAACATAGTGGTTTGGTTTCTCAATCAGTCAACTGTGGTGTCATAAACAGGAAAAGCCTTATCAAAGCTTTTCCATCAGAGATATACTTGCATGGGTACTCACGGTGGGTGGAGTCCTTCTCACCTATTCTTCAGCATCACATTTACACATGCGAATGAGAGCTATTAAGCACAGTCAGCAGTGGGACCACAGTCAATATTCACCCTTTTAGAGTGCAGTTTATATGACCTATGCTTAGGACCCTATAATATAATCCCCAGAAAGGCCTCTCTCTCTCCCTGACAGAAAATATCCCTAACATAATTTTAGGTGTAGACATAAACATTATTTTCAATTAATTCCATTAGCTGTCACACTAATATCGGAATACTGCTGGTGAGGTAATTACAGATCTAAACATAAAATACTTGTGATTTTACCATCTAGATTCAACAGGTGGAAGAAAAAGATCAATAAAGCCATATGTTCTCCTCCACTCTGTCACTCCACAGAGGCTTTCTGCTATGATCATATTTGGTGAAATCACTTAAACAAATAAGAGGATTTCACCCAAAGTGGATCAAGATATTCCACCTGAGGAGTCAAAATCTGGCATGGAGCAGCAGCATCCTGGAATGTGACAAAAACATGCATATGTGCTCTAAGATGAATTTGGCTTATATATTTTCTACTCATCTGTTGTATTGCGTGATTTTAAAAAAAAAAAAAAGGTGTTGCGTTATATTGTTTAAACTGCTAGATTCTGAGCTGTTATATTTCTATCCTGGTTTTCACTTTCTGAGATTCTTTAGCAATAATTTGTGGGGATCAAAACCATTTCTGGCTTAACAACATTTCATCTCCCCCTGACTAAACCCACCAGGGAGGAACAGAAAATGGAACTTGCCTCCAGGGAGGATACAGGGAAGTGAAAGCCCTTAGAGAATATAAACCAAATTTACTGGGTACATAGCTAGCTCTAAGCCATCCCTTTGCTATTTCACTACAACAAGCCAGTGCTATCTCAATATTTCAATATACTGCAAGAAGTGGTCACTTTGCCTTCCAAATTATAATATTAACGCTAAATGTACGTGTTCCCACTGATTCCAATTGTTCTAAATACATAGAAAAAAATGAGCAGTATTAGGATCTTAAAACTGTGCCATATGCTTATCATGGATCTCTATATTTTAACTTTTTTCAGGAACGTGTAAGTTTCAAGTTTCAAGGTCACCAAGATAGAGCAACCAGATGACCTGCTTTTTTGTATTCTGGTTTTCCATTTGTTAACCACAGGATATAGGCTGAAAAAAAAATATGAATTAGAAATTCTGCCAAAGGTGAGTGACACAGTTTTTCTGCGTACCACTCCCACTACAAGCACACATGAAATCCTTTATTTTCAATAAATGTTGCTGAAGATGGACACACTCAGACTTACAGGCGATGCCTATTCATTTCTGGACTTATACCGTAACCCCACTATACTAACAAACACACAGCAACACAGCAACACACACATGCACAGTCTAGCTATTTATGCTATGTCTTGGTAGGACAATTCTGCTTTAACCAGAAAAATTCTGATTCTTTTCTAAGTCACAAAAAAAAAAAATACACCATAAGTACATTGTTACATCATTTTCACTTCTCACCTCTTGCATATTGTTAGTCAGAACCTTAAAATATTATGTAGAGAAGAGCATAAATCATTATATGCAAAATAATTGGCTTAAAATTAATTATTGCTTCAGTTGTAAATGCTGAATTATAGTTTTGGTGCAAGTTAGTCATAAGAGCTCCATGCAGAAAAATATTGATTTAGTCCTTTAGTCTTTCATGGTGGTCTAGTGAGGATTACCACCAAATAATTGAGGCCCGCCCTTATTTCTCCATTTGATTCATGATCTTCTATAGTGGTAAGAAATCAAAGTCAGTCGTTTCATTTGTCCTTTGAATGGTTCCAAGCACGCAAAAGTTTGTCCAGAAACCAGAGTTTGGCTATGTCACTCTGTTTATTACTTTACTTTACAATTAATTAGACCACTTGGCAGATCTCATAGTGTGAGATCCACTCAACACAGTAAGGAAGAATAAATCTGTTGGAGAAGACAAGCAAATGGTTCCTTTTATTTAGCAGTGGACAGAAGAGTTGCCTATCATTCATTTTGCCTAGGTAATTAATCACAAACCAGCAGAAATGCTACCTGCCTTATCAAAACGTTTGCAGAACCTTTAAAAGGCTGCAGCTTGCTATAGCTATTTGTAAATATTATAGGTCTGCCTGGATGCTTATTGTGAAATAAGGTGGAAAATGACACCGTGGACAATGTAGCTCCTTGCACTCTCCTTTGTGTGGATGCCACGAGCAATACGAAGCAAGCCAAAGAAATTAGCTTCTTCACAGACAGGTGCAAAGGCAAGATGGCTTGTGTACCCACCTGTGAGTGACAGAGTAATTCCCAGAGTCACCGAGTTCAGCGGGCCAAAACTCCAGAAAATTCATTTGGGAAACAATTCTGTGGTTTTCCTTTATCAGTTGCTGCTTTCCAGCATTTTCTTTATACCAATTTATTGTGTATGCTTCCTTCTGAAAGTGTTCTTGCACTGATTTAAGATAACAAAGGAAAAAATATTCCCCTTCTAGCACATCAATGGAGGCACGAAGGGGACACAGCTTCTCTGCAGGGAATGAGGAGAAAGGATATATTAGGAAGCCAATTACTTCTTCATAAAATCTCATAAGCCTATCTTTAAAAGTGATTTGCTGTGCTGTTTTTATATTTTTGCTGGTCTTTTATAAAGCAACTTACTTTCAGCAGAGTGCTTTGGCAGTGTTTACTTATTTCAGTAATACTTACTGGAAAATTTGGTTTTCCAATTCTTTATTCTACCTCACCCAAGTAAAACCAGAAGGTAAATGAGGGTTAAAAAAAAAGAGACAGTTCCCTAAGATTCTTTCACGTGGATCCAACAGTGTCAGAATCAAATAGGCACAAATGGTAGAACTGAGTCTCACTCTGCAGTAAAGCAGCTGTCACAAATGGAAAGGGAAATTCTTCGTACATAGTTTGAATGAAAGCATGGATCCTATGAGTTAACACTTGTGTTTTCTTATTTTCTTAATTTAAACTATGTAGCTAGATTTGAGAGTTGAGAGTAGCCCTGAAGAAAAGGATTTGG